ACAGACAGACAGACAGACAGACAGACAGACAGACAGACAGACAGACAGACAGACAGACAGACAGACAGACAGAGACAGAGACGGAGAGAGAGAGAGAGAGAGAGAGACAGAGAGGGACAGAGAGAGACAGAGAGAGACAGAGAGAGAAATAGATTAATCTATCGATATATCTATTGTTGTTGTTTTGGGTTTTTTTTTAGCTTTAGTAAGTTTCATGGCATTTGCAACACAATAGTGTCTTATAAATGTGCCGAATTTTTTAGGCGTTGCAAGTGAGTAACAAACACAAAAAGATGGGGAAGAGATCAGGACGCTTGATGTTTGATAGGAAAGAAGGAACAGCCACCACAGAGCACCCGCCAACCACCCGCGATCGAATAGATATTCAGATAATAAGATAGAATGATAGATATATAGATAGGTAAGGTAGCTATTGGGGGGGGGGGGGGAGACGCCATTTGCTTCTTCCTTCCTAATGTATGGCCGTGTCCTTGTCTCAGTACGTTTAAACCGCCACTTCCTTTGTTTTTTCCTATATTGTGGCGACACTGTCAGAGAAATCTTAAGTCCGCCTGTTTAAGATAACAACTTTTCTCCTCGACAAAGGGTGGTCGTCCTGTACATGTACCAATATGACCCACTTCAGCAAGTGAATGCTGATGTGGACATTTTTGTATGCCAAAATGTAAGTTTTATCCTTTTATCCATCGTCAAATGCTTATATAAATGTTCTAGTGTTGTTTAAAAGTATCGAGTCAAAACACTCAATTTTTAGTAGTTCCAATTCGATTTGATACTTCATACCCATTCCTGAGTGCTCAAACTAACCAACCTTTTTTTGCACCAAAAAAAAAAATATGAAAGAAAAGAAAATATTCAACGCAATTTACTTTGGATCACAAAACGAAAGCATTTGAAACTTCCATCTCCTGTTCGAAAATCACAAGCTCTGGAAATCAGAGAGGAAATAACGTAGGGCCTTCATGAATTTAGGTTTTTAATATTATGATTGAATTCCGAATTATTGGTTAGTATCTTCGAAACATCAACTCTCCTTCCCATACAGAAGGCTTGTTTTGCTAAACACTACTTGCACAAGTGCCAATTGAAGTGAAATCGAGGGGGTGTCTTTTTTTTCTCAAAACAATAGAAATGTATCAATGTTCATCTCTTCCCCCGCCCCTAAATCAACCCCTCCTCTTTCACCCAAGCTGCTCCTTGTGGTTCGTTTCAGACTTTTGTAACAAATCTCAGGATCAATTAGACCAAAGAACACCGTTCATTTTGAGCAGTTTATCACTAACAATGTATGTGGGGCCGGTCCGGTTACAGCACCACCCAGCCCCTCGACTCAAGGACACGCCACTGGTGCGTCAAACACGCCTTTTTAGCCACCGCCTCTCTTTTCCGTTGGATTGTGATCACCGCTCTCCATTCGACAAATTGTGCACTGCCCACCGTTCGTATTATCATTTAGTTTGTTGATAGGCGGTGGCTACAAGTCGACATAATTCACCTGATTTCCTGATTTGTCATTGAGATTAATGTCTTCGTTTGCGTCCGACTTGTTTCTGCTACAGGTAGGTCTTATTTATTGCTCATCTGGCTACCAGCGCATAGAATAGATAGATAGATAGATAGATAGATAGATAGATAGATAGATAGATAGATAGATAGATAGATAGATAGATAGATAGATAGATAGATAGATAGATGATCACAC